TTCACACACCTTCACATTCACTTGACTTTTTCCTCCCTCATTAACACTAACTCAAATAAGGTAAAATGTATCACAGAGATAAGGTGTCTTTCACATAGCAAATATTTTTGATAAAATGATTAAAAATAGAACTGATTTTTCTTCAAAAATTGTCATCAACTGCTGAAATGGACCTTGAGAAAGATATGAAGAATCAGTTCTGCCACAGATGGAGAAAAGAAGAAAAGCACTGAGGTCAAAGCACAGTTAAGGGTGGAAGACTCCCGTTTCACATTTTCTGACCAAACCAATAAAATGAACAATAAGAAGCTCCACTTTCTCCACTTTTTCCCCAGACAAGATTTTTATTAACCTACCCCTGAGAACCAACTACAAAGAAATAATATTTTCAAAACACAACCCTATATTCTTCTGTAATAAAGAAGTACATTGTTACATTATATGTTATTTATGTTGTTCGGGACAAGACACACATGCTGTAGACCAGGATTTTTGTTTGCCAACCTGGACATTAGTGATCACCTCATTATATAGCTTACCAAATAGATGTAAATTCTCTATATATTTATTTTGTTTACAATTCAATAGCAAATAAAAGTAGTTAGTTATCACCAACAAAGCCATAGAATAAGTTTTAAATTCCCCATACTGTATACATATAAAATAGTAGGATTCCTTTCCTAACTTTTTTTTAATACACAAAATACCCAAAAAAAGACAAGATTTCAGAAAAATTGATAGGATAGATAATTTTGAATAAATATGTGTGAAGGACAGTAGACTAAGTATTTTTCTAATTTTTACTGACACAGCTCTCAATTCAGACCCAATGTGCAGAAATGAGCAATCAGTAGTGTCCTAAATTCTACCATTTTGTCTCCTGACTTTACATTAACACTTAATACTAAACTTCAATATGGTGTTTTCTGTTGACTCCCCTCTTGCAATTTGATACTAGTTTGCTAGACCTATTAATCATTTATAATTTTTAAAAAAGTTTTTATTTCAATAGGTTTTGGGAGAACAGGTGGTTTCGCATTACATTAATACTTTCTTCAGTGGCGATTTCTGAGATTTTGGTGCATCTATCACCCAAGCAGTGTACATGGTACCCAACGTGTAATCTTTATCCCTCACCTGCCTCCCACCCTTTCCCTCAGTCCCCAAAGTCCACTGTATCATTCTTATGACTTTGCATCCTCATAGCTTAGCTCCCATTTATGAGTGAGAATATACAATGTTTGATTTTCCATTCCTGAGTTACCTCACTTAGAATAATGGTTTGAAATTCCAACCAGGTTGCTATGAATGCCATTATTTTCTTAGACCTGTTAATTGTAATCGGTTACTTGGTTTCCCTTCCTGACTATTGTTAGCAGATTTGTTTTCTCTCTCATGGTTTAATGGTTTGTCAATTGAAACAGAAACCAGAGGCGTTGATTCTCCAGGATTTCCACTTGCATTACTGTATTTTCACAGCAGAGGTGAGATACAGGTATTTGTTGGAGAGAGAACTGATGACCAGGTTAAAAAAAAAAATCCTAAACGAACTGTTTGATGTCCACATGATACAGATATCACTAATAGTATTTTTCTATTTCTCTGTTTTTTTTAAAATAAGCTAATCCATTATAGAGAAAATTAGTCAAATCATAAGAGTATAACTCAATCACAAAAGTATAACTCAATACATTTTAACAGACCAAATATACATGTGTGTGCATATTTAAAAACATATATATACACACACACTACACACACACACACACACGTATATATATATGCACATATATATGTGTGTATGTATGTATGTATTTTAAAGTAGTCAGCCCTCAGGGTAATGCAAGTGAAAACTATAGTGAAATACCACATCACATCCACTACGATGTCTATTACAAAACAGACAGATAATAACAAGTATTGGTAAGGATATGGGAAAGTTGGAGCCCTCATACACTCCTGGTGGCAATGCAAAATGATGCTGTTTCTAGCAGTCTGATAATTCCTTGGAAGCTTAAACATAGTTATCATATGACCCAGAAATTCCTTTTCTAGGTACATACTCAAAAGATTCAAAACATATGTCCACACAAAATCTTGTACACAAATGGTCATAGTGGCAATATTGACAATAGCTAAAAAGTAGAAACACCTCAAACTGATGAATAAACAAATATTATATATACATATATATAGCTAATAAAATATTATTCAGCTATAAAAGGAGTGACATAATGATATAGCCTACAGCATGGATAAGTCTTCACAAAATGCTAAATGAAAGAAGAAAATCACAAAAGACAAGATGTTTCACAATGTCATTTATAAGAAAATTTCAGAATAGGCAAACCTACAGAGATGGCAAATAGATCATTGGTTGCATAGTGATGGAGTAGAAGAAGAAACAGAGTGACTGCTAGTGGGTATGGACTATTTTTTTTTTTGGTCAAGGGGAGTGATGAAAATACTCAAAAATTGCAATGATAGCTGTACAACTCTGAAAAATATGCAAAGTGCATTTCAATAAAGCTATTATCAACAAAACAGAAAATCTTCTTATCTGTTTTGAAATAACTGCAATATCTTATATTTATGTTTATAGATAATAATGGAAAATAACAAAATATCAAGAAATAGAACATTAACATTATAGCAGACAGAATCTAAATGGATACCAAATTATCTGTTTGTTGTTTCACACACAATGGTGTGAACACCATTCCCTATTTCCTCTCCCTTTGAGAGGAAGTGAGACATTTACCTTGCTTATACCCAGTAGAATATGACAAAGGTGATAGGATATGACTCTCATAATTACATTACGTTATATGGCTGAAGTAATCAGGTGTTACTCTTGAGATTACACTGTTTTATAAAAGACTCTGTCTTAGTTTTTCTCACTCTTCTAGTGGCCTTGATAAAGCAAGTGGGCATCATTGTAACTTGTCTATGGAAATGTCCACATGCCAGGAGCTGCAGGTAGTCTCTACAAACTGAGGACCTCAGTCCTCTAACAATAAGGTAGTGAATTCTGCCAACTGAAGTGATCTTGGGAGTAGACGTTTATCGAGTTGATCCAACAGATGAGAAAGGCCAGTAGACATCTTCTTTTTTTTTTTTTTTTTTTTTCACTTTAAAATTTTGTATCGAGATGGGGTCTCACTATATTGCCCAGGATGGTCTTGAACTCCTAGGCTCAAGTGATCCTCCTTCCTTGGCCTCCCAAAGTGCTGGGATTACAGGTATGAGCCACCCCACCTAGCCCCAGGAGACATCTTGACTGCAATAGACATCTTAACCGCAGCCTGATGAGGCACTGTTGTGGAGTTCCCAGAAAAACCTGTCTGGACACCTGACCCACAGAAACTGTGATATATAAAATACATGTGTTTTTTTTAAGCCACTAAGCTTGTGGTGACTCGTTATGCAGCAATACATCGCTGATATTTTCTCCTTTCAAGCGCCACAGCCTTATTGTCAAAAATGAACAACATTTTAATTTCAAAAATGTTGAAATAGTATTGAATATTTTAAATGCACATAGTTAGAATCAAAGAATGTAAACATATTTTTCCTGGTTTCCAGTGCCCAACAGCATGGTTATGAGAGCAATTTCTTTTGTGTGTAGTATTAGTTTGCTCATCTTCATACTGTATGGCATACCACTGAGTAAATGAATATATCAAAATTTATTTATTCATTGTGTTGTTGATTGACATGAGAGTTGTCTGTAGCATTCGAGTTATGTTGCTCTGAATATTCTTATTCAGATATCTGTCTTTGGGTGACATATATACAAACACACACATATTTCAATTGAATATACCTATAGACAAAATTTAGGGTCATATAATTTCGAATATTTATGTATTCAGAATTACTGACACTGCCATTTTTCCACAGTAGTTTCACTCACGACAGGAGGGTACAAAAATTTGGGTTTCTATACATCTTTTACATTTCAGATAGTTTTGATTTTAGATATTTGGTAGTGCTAATATATATTTTCCATGAAATAACTCACTATCACATTATATTAGCCTTTGACATTTTTCATGTCAATTTACTTGTTTATAATTTATTTTTCTCTACTAAAACCAATATTTTCTTTTTGAGATGTAAACTTTGTCTGCTTTTTTTATACACCCATATACTTAGCTTTCATAAAGAACATAAATGTTTCATAAAGAACATAAATGTTTGCTAAATGAGTAAACTACTCACATAGGTAGTCAGTTCCTTCTCCCCATGCACTTTTTAGAAAGCATTCCTAAAGGGAGTGGAACCGCAATATATGGCTACTGATGCTGAAGCAGCTTAGTTTAATGACATTCTTTCTGGCCAATTTTATGAAAATGTTATAACACATTCTACTCACAAAATTTAAAATTTAAGAGAAACAATTTATCAAACTATAATATGTATTTTATAGTACTCAGGGTAGTTTGAGTTGGAAAAGTGGACGAATTCTAAGTTTAAAAGGAAAGGGGAACACCAAAACTCACACACAATTTGTTATTATAACTTCCCTTAATCATTTGGACCATGTAGTTTTTTGTAATAAAGTTTGGTGGATAGTCTTTAAATCAGATGATTTCTAACTTGTCTTTCAGTTGTTCTCCTCTATGACTTTACATATTGAGTGGATGGTAGAATGTAGGTTGATGATAAATTGTGTATATACTGAAGCTTATTTATCTAGTTAAAATATGATAATCTTACTTCACTCATTAGATATAATATTGGGAAACTCAAAATTATAACTTTAAAATATTTAAGTATCTTTGCTTTATCCAAAGGAAACATTATCTCCCTAGTTTTGCAATAACAAATGTTCTACTTGTGCTTTCAAGTCCAACTTCTAAAAAGTGCTTTCTTGAAGGTCATTAATAACGATATCTCACTTGGCAATCATTTGAGCTCTGATTACCAAGCCTTGTTAATATGAATGCAAAGAACACAGCTCTGACCCAGAGCTATGTACCCTTATTTCTATTTACCTTCATATTTCTGAGGAATATCCACATCTCTGGGCTATCATGGCTTTCCTTGCTCGCCTCTGCCACACCACCATGCATTGCTTTCTGGTAAATGTCATTGGATTGGGATGCTAATGCCTCCTTTTTGCTTTTGCTATATAGAGATGTCATCTTTGCAACTTTGTAGACACTAAATATTGCAGACCTTCCATTTCTTCACCTATATAAATAAAAAAAGACTCATAGGATTTCTATGGTTCTATTAAATTTATTATCCGACACTTCAACATGTTGAGATATCTGTTGTGCTCTTGCTAGATTTTCAGTTAATTAATTTTAGTTCCAGAAACATAAAATTGAAAAAAGATTGAATACTAGGCTACCAAAGCCCTTCTTTTGAGAAAATGATACATAGGTATGTCCTCAGAATAATGGCATGAAATAAAGCTCAGATGATATAAAACAGGATGTAGGTTCTTGGGAGCCTGTTGCCAGAACTTACATTTTGCAAGCCTGATTCATAACTTACAGCAATGTGTTCTTTCCTTAAAGGAAGCAGACAGAACTTTGCCAAGAGAAAGTGTGCAATTACTATAGGTCATTCTCCGGAGGTACTTAGCAATCAGAAGGAGCAGTAAGTGGCTGTGAAGCAGAGGCAATGTGATCGAAGACAATATTCCTTCCCTCTACACAAGACATGAAAGTACTATAAAACATATGAATAAAAGCATAATCAGAATAAGAGTATGATAGCTGAAATTTGATACATCAAACCTAGATGCAGGATATTCGCTCTGTAAATAATGGTGATGATCTGATTCTTTTGTAGTTATATGTGCACAGTTAAAAAAGTGTGGTTAAGATGAGACAAAATCGACTAAAAAGTACATTTATTAAATACATTTTAAAGACCTGCTTTCTTATGATCATTTGGGAATCATTTAATTTGTACAAAATGTCAGTAAAGTTACAAAGTCATTTGTAAATATAAACTTAACTATTTTGGTGAATTTAACAAAGGTCCAAGAATTATAGTATTTTAGTTTTATAAGACATGCTCTAATTTCCACAACTAAAGATGTACCCCTTAATAACCCTTTCTATTTTCTATAACAGTGGCTATAAAAATGTGGTCCCTAGACAAGCAGCATCAATATCACTTGAAAAATTTATAAAAATACAATTTGTCAGACCCTACCTCAAACCTACTGAAACAGAAATTAAGAGGATTCACCCAGTAATCTGTGCTTTTATAAGCTTTCCAGATAATTCCAATGCACCCTAACATTTAAGAACCAACATTCTTTGAAATTAAATTTCATCTTTCCTTTATATGTACCCAAAATTCCAAACTACAAATCTTCAAGGATGTATTTTCAATGTTTCATAAAGTCCACTAGGAGTTTTATATTAGTGTAATTAAAACATTGTGGTATAGTGGTCTTTTGATATCTTCAGAAGAAGGGTTCCAGGACCCCTGCAGTTACCAAAATTCAAGGATGCTGAAGTCCCTTATATAAAATGGCATGGTATTTGCATATACTCTGTGCACATCCTACCATACACTTTGAATTATCTGTAGATTGCTTATGATACCTAATACTAAGTAATGCTATGCAAATAGTTGTTTTCTTGTACTGCTTTTTAAGCTTGTATTTTTTACTGTTGTATTTTTATTTATTTATTGAATATTTTGATCCAGGTTGGTTGAATCTGCTGGTGAGGAATCTCACCAACTGTAATGTTAATTACTTTGTCCTAGTTATATATTTGGTTTACTATTTATGTGCTATAATAACTAGAAAATAACTTTTTAAAATGTTGCTTCTTATATATAGCTGCTTATAAAACACGACAGAAGAAATTAAAAATAATGCTTTAGTAGCAAACAGATTTGGATTCACTGACAACTGCCTTATTTATTTGCAACAATTCTGGATTACTTACAATTACCATTCATGTTTTTTTTCCTCTTTGAACTTAACAATGTAGACTCCCCATAATTCCTTACATTTTACCTAAAGTATTTTTTACTCCTAACATTGAAATTATAATTTTACTTTTACATTTCAAAAGCAAAAGTTAATAATATTTTAAAGACTTATCTTTAAGTAGCCTGATCATTTTAATGAAGTGAGTGGTGGTGACACTTTTTGGTAAATATATGTAACATAAAATTTACCACCTTAGCCATTTTGAAGCATGTAGTCAGCAGCGTTCAGTACATTCATATTGTTGTGTGACCTCCAGAACATTTTCATCTTTCAAAACTGAAACTCTATACCCACTAAACAACTCATTTCCCCCTTCCACAAACCCGTGGTAACTCATTCTACTTTCTGTTTCTACGAGTTTCGCTACTTTAAATAAGTCACATAAGTGGAATCATACAGTATTTGTTTTTTGTTTCCAGCTTATCTCACTAACCCCAATTTCCTCAAAGTTGATCCATTTTGTAGAATGTTTCAGAATTTCCTTGCTTTGTAAGGTTAAGTAATATTTCATTGTGTGCATATACTCCATTATGTCTATCTGCTCACCCACCAGTGGACATTTGGGTTGTGTGTTAGTCAGAGAAGTGGTAATAAAATCTATCATCTGGGTCGATTTAACGACTCAGTCTTGGAGGCTGGAAATCCAAGATCAAGGTGCTGTTAAAGCTACTTTATTCTAAGACCTTTCTCCTTGGCTTGTAGATAAAGCTGCTTTTTCCCTGTGTCCTCACATGGTCTTTTATCTGTGGTGGCATGCTTCTGGTATGTCTTGCTGTTCTTATAAGGACACCAGTCTTATTGGATTATGGCCTATCCCTAAGACCTCATTTAACCTTAAGTACTTCCTTGAAAATCGTATCTCTGAATGCAGTACCATTGGAGGTTAAGATTCCAAACCTCCAAATTTTGCACGGGACACAGTTCAGCTCAAGGCAGGCTGCTTCTACCTGTTGGCTATTGTGAATAATGTTGCTATAAACATGAATGTACAAATATCTCTTTGAGACAATATGAATGTACAAATATCTCTTTGAGACACTGCTTTCAATCATTTTGGATACACCCAGGAATAAAACTGTTGGATCGTAAGGTAATTCTCTTTTATTTTTTTGAGCAACCACCATATTAAGGTATTTTTATAAGACAGTCATATCACATAATACAGATACAGACAGAACAGATATTTTGTTGGATAATCTCATTAGTTTCCAAGTACTTAAAGACAAGGTTATGTATTCACTCTAAAATAGAAACCTCAATTAGACTCTTTAATATTTATACTTCCTAATAAAAAGAAAAAACTGTATCATTTGTTAAAATCTTAGAAATCTTTTGGGTATATCTATGATTGTTTATCTGTGCTTAGTTCTACAAATAAAAAATTGTTATTTATGTGATGTGATGATACTATATAAAACTTGCAGAGCAAAACTTATCTACTAATATTTTTATCTATTAAGATTAGAAACATCTGAATAGACATTTTATCACCAAACAGTAATTTTGATATTTATTCATAAAAATAATAATTTAGCAATGAATTAATTTGGTGTGTTTACCAACATAGAAATTGTAGCAACAGAAACTTAACAATAATGTAATAGGCATGTTTACATGCAAAAATCCTTTTTAAGTGGTATATTGTACATTGATACATGTTGTGGGGCAAAATTAACAGCCATTTTTTCTTTAAAAGAAATGCCAGAAACATGCTGGTATTTCACTTCTACAATAACAATTTATTTCTCCTGCTCTAGCCAAACCACATGAAGGCAAGTGTTATATTGATTTTTTCTAAGTAATGTTTCGGTAGAAAATATTGCAGATATATAATTCTACTTAAAATTGGGAAATTCACAAAGACCTATTATCAAATAAAATACTATTTATTGTGAAAAAATATTTTAGAGTCTCCTCAATGGCATGAGAAAGCAATAGAATTGGAAGAGTTAACTTTCAGTTTCAGCCTCCTACCATAGTAGTGTGACTCAGCAGCATGTTCCAGTTTACTCCTGTATGCTTATTCTGCCCAATCAGTCACTAATATGCTACTGAAGTCAGAGATAAAATTGGCTTACCCACAGTAGTTACATGGCTGTCTACAAAACAATTCAGAAACAGTGTCACCAGCAAAACTATATTCTTACCAGTTAAAGGGACAAATATACTGATTAAAAAGATGGTTCAAAATCTGGCTTGAAACTACTTACTTAAGTACCTGTAAGAATTTTTCACATAAAACTGAATTCACAGATATTTTATTCAAGCAAGGAAATAGTTTGTTTTTAACAGTTTTTTTGTCTTCTAAATAAAATTTCTAGTCCTTTATTCTAGTAACTTTAAAATTTACTTGGAGCAGTTAGATTTTTTAAATGATTGCCTTTAATTGTATGAACTAAAACATTCAGAAATTAAAAACAGTATAAATTACTTGCACATCCTTTTTTTCATGAAATATTACGTTGACTTTAATTTTGCCTGTCATTTGTGACTGACAAATGTCAAGGGGATGATTTGGCACTATGAAAACAGTTTTATTATCTCATGCTTTTATTTCTTAAATAGTCTATTTATAGACATTACATTTCTGATTGGTAATGAAAACGTGCCTCTATAAATTACTGTTTTGTATCTTTTTTAAAAAAAAGTAAAGGGAATCGTGTACCTGGATTACACAGTGTATGGCTAATGACAGTCTACCCTAGATGTCATGGAAGGGGCACTGCCCAGTTGATGGACAGTTTCATATGTCCAATTTGAATTCTGAAAGTCAAATCACACATTTTCCTAAGAGTGTGTTTTGTGATTAATTCCTCAAGGAAACTGAGGTGATATGTTTGTAAGAGGAAAATGAGGAATGAAATACACAATACTGAAACGTCTTTGGTTTATTTTATGAGTCCTTTAACTTAAAATGTCAAATTTAGACATATTTTTGGCTATAATTAATGACCACCTAATCAAAATGTTCTCTCAAATAAACCCACATAAAGATGGCTTCATGACTATTTTACTAAGGATGCGTTTAGTATGGAGACCAGAAAAAAATGAATAAAAGACATGATTTTTATGTATTTGAAAGTTGTTCTTATTTTAACCAAAGTCTTTTGTATTTAGTTGAGTTTTATATCAGAGATTCATTGAATTCAATCCTTTAAAAAAATAATAAAGAACTGAATGTGTTTTAGGAATACAGACTCAAAGTAGTGAATAATAAGTCCTCGTTTTCATGGGAGTGGGCATGAGAGGAGAGTGTGAGTTAGAGATAGTGACCATTAAAGGAAAAAGCACTTTGAAGAAAAAAAGTGAAGCAATAGAGAGTGGTAGATGGGCACCTTAATATTAGATATTCAGGGAAATAAATTAATGGCCTTCATACTGGCGGGTTTCATTGCACTGTTAGAAAAGCCTAACTTGAGATGATTTGGAAAGAATATGAAGGGAGGAAGTCCCAGTAGTGATATTTAAAGAAAATATACTTCATATAAGAACAGAGAAACAAACAATATTAGGAAAATTCTCCACTGTATCAGTTCACCTCTACTTCTCTCATCATATGGCTGTCTACGAATCTTTTTCTTCCACCTATGTTTGTCTCTGTGTCCAGATTTTCCTTGTTATAAAGACACTGGTCATATTGAATTAAGGCCCATCATAAAGAGCTCACCTTTACTTAACTTCTCTGTAAAGACTCTGTTTCCAAATAAGATCACATTCTAAAGTATTCAGGGTTAAAACTTCAACATATCTTTTGGGGGACACAACTCATCCTGTAACATCTTAGATCTAGATGGTGGTCATGAGACTTGAGATAATGAGAAAGATTTGAGGAATATTTAGGTAGAAGAAATGATTTTATGCACATGCCAAAAAAGATAATACTTAAAATTATTTGATACATTTTAACATATTCTAATGACTAAATGGCTAGAAATAACATTTTTGATTTAAAAGAGGCCAAAAGCCTTAAGACTTCTTTCACAGTAATTTAAGAAGTATGCTTGGAATGTCCTCCTAACTACTATAAGCTCTTAAGTTATTTGTTATATCATTCCCTTGTAAATGTTTATTTGCAAATTCATTTCCTCACTGTCAGAAATAATTGCAATATTGAAATTTGGCAGAATTGATTGTAAGGTCATCATTGATAAATAGCAAATAAAAATAGACAAATAATAACTATTTTATTGGGTCATACTTCTCCTTTGAGCATTTGATACAATTAAAAACTCAGAGGTTGGGCGCGGTGGCTCACGCCTGTAACCCCAGCACTTTGGGAGGCCGAGGCGGGTGGATTGTGAGGTCAGGAGATCGAGGCCGTCCTGGCTAACACTGTGAAACCTTGTCTCTACTAAAAATACAAAAAATTAGCCGGGCGTGGTGTCTGGCGCCTGTAGTCCCAGCTATTTGGGAGGCTGAGGCAGGACCAAGGCATAACTCAGGAGGCGGAGCTTGCAGTGAGCTGAGATCAGGCCACTGCATTCCAGCCTGGGTGACAGAGCGAGACTCTGTCTCAGGAAAAAAAAAAAAAAACAACCCTTAGATAAATGTTCCCCAAATTTTACACACTATTTAGGATGGACACTTTATACAACCTTCATTAATCTTAATAACCATTTATTATTATATGTAATAAATGTGTGAGCTATTTGGCTTATATCAATGTATGACAACTATTTCAAATATAAGTAACAGAGAGTAGGCAAATATTTACCATTTAGAAAGACAAAATATTTTTAATTTTATAAACTTTAGATTTTAGTTTCAAGATCCTTAAACATTATGTAATTCTTCTTGAAAGATATGTATACGCTTGATAAATTTTTCTTTGTAACATGCATGACCTTATGAGATATATTCATTTTGACTCCAGATTACCTGATTACAACAAATATTTTGTCTGTTTCACATATTACTGTATTCCCTGCAATGAAAATCATGTTTAGCAAATAGTGGGTGCTTGATAAAAATTTGTCGAATGAATGAATATAACCATAGGCAAAAAACAAAAACAAAACAAAACAAAAACAAAAAACAAAAAACAAAAAAACACAAAAAAAACAAGGCATTTCATTACGGCTATCCAAAGCAGAGAAATCAGAATTTAAATAATAAGAAGGCAGACAGAGAAAATGAAGGAGACAATGTGAAAAAAAATAAATAAATAAAATGACATCATAGAATGCGACAGAAATATATTCCTTTCAGCATCTAAGCTATATATCAGCAGTTTGAAGGAAGTAATAAACTACAGAATATGCTTCCATTGGGTTGGAAAAATTTAAAATATAGCCTTCTTCAGAAGATGGTATCAAAAATTTAGTTTCATAATTTCCAGTCTCAAAACTTCATCAGGGACCCGAAGTAAATAGCAGCCAGGAATAATGTCAGATCCGTACATCTTAAAAGTTCATGTCAGTTCTAGTTAATAAACATGACGTTAATACCTTCAAACAATTTCAGACACTTATATCATCTACATTCTGTGCACAAACATACTTTCATTGTGCCACTTAATATTATCCCAAATTTATTTGCATGTCTATGATGATATCTAGAGAGTTGAAAACTTGTTTTTGTTTTGTTCAGTTATGTTTCTTATTTCCTATTTGGCCCCCAAGTCCATTGCATAGTGACTGGCACACAGAGGATTCAATAAATAAGTACTGTATTGATTTTCTCATTATATTTAAAATTTTGTACTGGAATAGACTGTTGTAAGTACTAAATTATATTCCCGCTATTGCCTTAAAAACTTGCAATGCTATTTCACTTTTTATGCATCAAACTAACCTATGCATATGCCTCAAAAGAGTTCTTAGAGCTGTAAGCTTCAAGTTTGAGCCTTACCTGGCTGAACACAATTTGATTTACAAATTTATCCTGAAATTCAAAGAAAGAGATAAGGAAACTGAAGAAAAAGCAATTTTTCTTTTCATAAAACCTTACTACATTTTTAAAAATGCAAACTTGACAGACAGAAAATATCCCAACTGTGCTTGCCTGTATGCATAATGGCTTTATACCACTTTTGTGTTTGTCATAATTTCTATAGAAATCACAGACCAGCTTTATCTCTTGACTTTCAAACATACCTCAAGTAAAATATGCTGAGGTAGTAAAACTAATTTAAGTTCTGTGAAAAGTATTCCAGTAAGAACTCAAAAAGCAACACATTAGTTGGCTTTCTAAAGCCTAACAACTTATCTGACATTAACACAAATAAAAATGTAGTTTTAGTTATATGACCGAGAAAAGGAAATTGAATGAAAGTTAAATTGTAGCTAACACTTAGATGTGCCATGTGCCAGCTGGTGAATTAAACCCTTTACAGATTAGAACATTGAGGTTTGGAAAGTGGAAAGAAAGTCTCATACATTTTATGAGGTCTTGGAGTTTGAAGTCAGGCAACCAATAACATATTGTGGGAGAAAAGTAAAAGCAAAGCTACTATATAACCTGAAGAGTAGCAAACAAACTATTCTAGAGACCTGGTTATAAGATTTGTTTTTCCCCAGGCATCTTTATTCCAAGCATGTAGCCAAAAACAGCCAACCCTTGATGGCGTGTCTGTAGTCACCTTCTTCACGCCAACCAGGAGAAGGAATTTCACAAGGTAATGTCATCAGTTAAGGCAAGAACTGGCCATTTTCACTTCTTTTGTGATTCTTCAGTTACTTACGACCATCTGAATGTGTACGTACTGGTCACAGGGGATATGATAGCTTAGCTTGGGCTCAGAGGCCTGACAATAACATCATTCCTAAAGTTAAAAAATCACTTACTATCCCTATTGCATGAGGTAATTTATGTATTTTATTGTCACTGAATATAGAAAGACTCAGTATTTAGTATTTATGTTCTATTTCTTTAAAAAAATATCTATTATAAAAATTTTGGAATGATTTTAGATTTACGGAAAAGATGCAAAGGTGGTATGCAATTTATCTGTTTACCCTTCACAGATTTTTCCTAATGTCAATACAGTTCATAATGATGTAGTTGAAAAAACTAAAGAATTAATATTAGTGTATTAGTACCTCAACTACAGGCTTTTTTGCCAATGTCCTTTTTTTGTGTAAGATTTCAATCCAGGAAACATTGCATTTAGCATGCTATACTTTTTAACAACCCACTCTTTTACAAGATAGGTGTCCATATTTTTATTTTCAATAATGAATATTTTTCTTAATAATTGGTTCCCTATGATTGTTATGAGAATAACAATACCTTCATATATAAAAATTATACATATTACATATTATACATACAGATTAGATATAATATATAATACATAAGGCAAGCAATTTATAGCTTACATATTACATATATACTACATTCTATAAGCACTTCTATCTACATATAACATAAATATATGATATTGTATATACATAATAATGTGTGTATGTGTTTGGGTATGTATCTCCTGCCAAAAAATTTGAGAAAACTGAATACTACTTTCTTGCAGAAAAGCAATGTAAACAAGCATAGATATAGGTGATGAGAAGTGGAACAATTAGTATTTTTAACTTTGTGAAATTTAAAATTCTCAATTTAACTAAAAATCTATTTTTAAGTTATAAATATACCCAATAATATACCCAATGATTTGTGGTTCATAAATGTAATGGGGAGGAAGTATAATATGCTAATAATATTGTGTCATATCATTAGTTATGTCATAATATAGAGGCATATTAATAATTATAAAATCCACTGTTTAAAGGTTCAAAATCAGTTTAAGTGAATAAGAGCATAATTTGATGATGTCTTCTACAAATTATTAGACTTGATAAATAAATTACTTATAACTTTGTAACTTTGTTGTTAAGCATATGAATACAAAGGCAGACAATCTGCTTGAAATTCTAGCATTATTACAAATTGAGTAACCTTGGGAACTATGCCTTAGTCTCTTTGCCTGTTAAATTCAGTTAATAATAGTATTTACTTTATAGAATTGTTGAAAGGATTAAACTAGTAAATTCATGTAAAACACTTAAAATAGTGACTTGTAAATAATCAATGGTATTAGTAATTGTTTTCATAAAGTAATTTTATATATAAGTGCCATTATTGATATTTATTTGTATCATCAGAACATTTTCTTGAATGATACTATTTTTCAATCCTCATGTCATAAAACTAATAAATAAACATATTCACCGGAAGCTTAATATTTATCCCCATTCAATTCTTTAAGAATCCTCAGAAAAATGTGGCAATATGCAAAAGAGATGTCAAATTTCCCCATAGTAGAGTCTACAAGGACTCCTGACAATGTTTTCTTTTAAAATTCTCAGTTATGATAGCTTTTCCTGCACAATGCCAAGCAACGATATCTCCCAGGCTTTGCAATGCTTGAAACAGAAAGAGCCCATCAATAAAATAGAAGAAGGCTAGACAGTAAGGGAAATCTTCAAATGGTTTCCCAAGTTTTTCTAATTCCCTTCAAGAAAATCAGTGAAACTCCAAACAGAAAGAGACTGAAATGTCTATTTACTCAAGCTCTAAAGGGATCAGCTAAGTCTTTCTGCTTACATTAGATATTTTTGATTGTTTTGTTTGTTTTCGCACCCCTACACATAATCACTTTGAATCTCATGGCAAGGATGAAAGAATAAGTACAGCATCCTCCAGAGAACATTTTTAAAAATACAAATTAAACATAATTTCAGAACTAGCCAATGTTTTTTAAGGTGAATGTTCTACTCTTCAAACTATAATGACAAACAAAACAACTTTCAAATCATTTGATTGCATAGTGTTATAATTTTCCATAGATACTTATTGTCATTTAAAAAGACTGAAAGAGAAAAGCATAAGAGACATAAATGTAAACATGACTTGGTCTTTAAACAAAAGGCCACATTCAAAAATCAGTGGTAAAATAAAATATTGATTTAAGAGGAACAGATATCCCAAGGAACCAGGAAGATAACTGTGGAGATAGTTGCAATAATTCAAGCAGGAGATGATGAAGGAAGTGTAACCTGCACATGTTTAAGAGGTGAGAATTAGTGCTTAGATGTTGTAGAGTGTGTGAAAAGGAAAATACAGACTTTGTGCAAGGATTTGGATCGGGTTTCACTTTTGATTCATGGAACAAATCTGAAGTTGACATTGACATGAATTTCAATTACCCTCTGACGATCACTTCCTTGATCCTCAACCGAATTATGAGAGTAGGAAGCTGTTTTTACAATATTAAAGATGTGGTCACGTGTTCAGATGGTGATGTACTACAGCTCTGGAAACTGAAAGAGTTTATCATGTAAGATGAAT